GAATGCTGCTGCTGCCATTTATAAAAAAATTGAAATCAGAATATTTAAAATATCTAAAAAACTGAAATTACAATATTTAAAATACTAAAAAAATCGAAATTAGAATATTTTTTTAAAAATAGAGGACTTTTAATATTCTTAGAATGCAACAATAAACATGAGAAATTGACATCATTCCCATATTTATCTTCCATTCACAATTCATTTTAAATATGGATGGGGGAGGGGTGAGGGGGTGATTGGGAATTAAGAGGTCACAAAACATCCGTTACTACTAATTCCAGCACAGATGTCGCTGTTACTGCAAAAGAGATGATGAAGGTTTTCTCAGGTTGCCATACTATAAGGTCTTCTACCAAGAGCCACAGTTTAGACCTCAAACTCCACATATCAAGTCTCAGTAAATACATAAAGTTGATTATGAAGAGAAATGTGTATATGAACGGACAAACGTAATCCTGATGAATATAGAGGACATGTATTAAACAACAGGATGATGTTTGAAGAAAAAATGAGAGGGAAATAACTTCTTAGAGAGTGAAAAATCAAGAAAATTTCATAGCTATAATACAAGTATAGACTTGAACTCAGCTTTTTTTGCTTTTCCTTTCAGAATCTTTCAATTTATCTACACCTAAACTGATGTACTCCAAAACACATTTTTTTTTAAAGATTTTATTTTTTCCTTTTTTCTCCACAAAACCCCCCAGTACATAGTTGTATATTCTTCGTTGTGGGTCCTTCCAGTTGTGGCATGTGGGACGCTGCCTCAGCGTGGTTTGATGAGCAGTGTCATGTCCGCGCCCAGGATTCGAACCAACAAAACACTGGGCCGCCTGCAGCGGAGCACACGAACTTAACCACTCGGCCACGGGGCCAGCCTCTCCAAAACACATTTTAACAAAATTAATGAAGTGAACTGGAAACATTAAATTTTTTTCTCTGAAAACCATCTTAAAGCAAATTTTACCTATTAGAGAGCGTTTTGCTAGCTAAGTAGCAAAGTTGGTAGGACATTGCCATATTTTCAAGCAAGCCAGTTTCGGGTTAAAAAGCAGCATAACCCACCTGCATCCAGGTTAAAATTTAGCCATGATCACACTATAATAAAATTTTTTATTTGATAAAATTGATGTGCTAAGAATGCTTCCTTTAGGAATATAATTTTCAAAACTTTGGATTTCCATCCAAAGGAAAGGTTATTTCCTATAGCAATGCCTGTATAATAGATCAGATTTAATTTTAACTGGGGATGCCACAAAACTTTTTCTACTATGTCTATCTCTATTTATTTTCTTTTAACTTACAGCTAGTTCAATGATTATTTAGCTAGTAATATGTACAACATGTAGCCTTTTTAAAAACCATTTTATTATATTTCCTAATCAGGACACTTTTCTACTTTAAATTTTTTAAAATTTTCTTTCAACAACGAACTTTTATTTTACCTTATATCTCTATTAGAAATGCACATACATTTCCCCATAAATTAGTGACCAAGCTTCCAAGATTGAGGAACCTTTTTCAACCCTAAATCCTATTTCTACAATTTCCTCAAGTCCTCTAACCTCCTACTGCACTTTTGTACACTAATGTACGTCTTTTTCCAACATCTACATGATTTTTCTTCTCCTGTACTGCAATTCAATACAGGTAGTTAAGAGTAGCTAACAATGTAATTCCACATGATATTGCATCTGTGTTTACATCTGGCTCTAATCACATGCTTAGAAGTGATTTTTACAGGAGAAAGCAAAACGGGGGAAAAAATAAAAACACAACTATGAGAAATAATTATTCTGTTATTTTAAAAATATCATTTCTAATTTGACAGAACTTTCTCACCACATGCTTCAAAACTACTAAAACTGTAAACATAGGGAAATACTGGATACTAGAGAAAGAAAGAAAAAAGTACTAACCAAATATTTCATATGCTTTTATATCAGGGTCATCTTAGCAAGCGATTGATGCTTTCAATTTATAAGATATTTTAAGTTTTGCTCCATGCTACAATTATATATGTCATGGCTGTGTGGTAAAGTTCCTCAGCTCATAAAAAACTAAGTGAATCACACCTATTCACTACTGAGCTCTAGGAATTAGGAGAACATCAAATTCAAGAAACATCTGTCAGGAAACGTAAAACTATATTTACACACACACACACACACACTCACACACACAGAGGACATCCTAAAATGAGAAATTCACACAAGCTTACCTGATAATTCAGGTATTTCCTACCTAGTTCAAGATAAGCAGTATTACTATTGCATTATGGTACTGGTATTGGGGCATTTAGAGAAACACCACTAAAAATGATTAGGGAAATAAATACTTCTAACATTTGACCAATGAAAGGCTTCCAAAAGTTTACAGTGATATTAACTTAATTATATGGGCATAAACCAAAAAGAAACAACTGAATTCATTGAGTTTCATGCAATTATTTATGTGTAAAAGTTATATCAATTTACAGTTTGTTGAAAACTAAGAGTTCTTTGAATACAAGCAAACAATAATTAACCAACTATAGAGAATTTTTCACTGCATTTAAAGCCTCAAAACAAACTTACATTTCTTAATTTACAATTCTAAATTTAAAATTTACACACTAGCTGATCCTGATTCTTAACTAGAAGGAGAAGGAAAAGATAAAATCTAAAAATCACTAACATGTGAGTGACTGCTGGTTAACATTTTCTTTAGCGTAGTCTGTCAGCTCATGTATACTTTAAGTCTGCATAAGTTATGGGAAAATAATTACACTAATACCAATCAATTAACTGCAGTGTTTCTTACCATATTTACATCTTTTAACATCTAAAAACATGTATTTTCAGAGATCTTACTATGAATAAAAAAGGAGGTTAAAAAGTATAGTAAATATGCAAAATAAATGTGGGCCAATCATTATACATTCTTCTCCAAACCTAACAACATAAAACAAAACTTTTTGTTAAAAAGCCATAATACAACTCGTCTAAAGTGAGACCAAATTGATAGCAATCTCAATGTCAATATTTAAAAAGCTCAAATTAATAAAATTGTTCAAGTTAAAACATTCCCACTTCTTTCCAGTTTTAGCATACTAGAAAATACTAATGCCTAATTTACCCGGGGCTAGTTTTAAATAACAGTAAGACTGAGAATTATACTGAAGGTCCCTATCAACACAGAGGTCCCAATCAACAGGAGACAGAGCAACTTAATGTACTACTACACCAGTAATCACTTTTGTTAGCATCCTCTACTGGTGGTTTCCAAAGACAGCAAGCGTAAACGGTGCAAATGACAGAAAGATATGTACCTACTATTCCATCTAAAGTGAATTAATCAGCATGTGGTCTTTAGCAGACAGAATACATGTCTCCAAAAAAATAAATACATAAGACAACCACACAGAGAATAGATGTGGAAAATGAGAAGATTTTTAAAATACAACAAACAAAGCATTACATTATAAATGGTAAAAATTGATTTCAGCAATTCAAATGCCACTCCTTTACAGATGACTAACATTACCATAAAGTTACTACATAAGGTTTGATGCTTTGGCCAAACGTTACTCAATTGGTTTACCCCTGTCAAGTTACTTTACTTGATTCTCCCATTAATATCCTACTCTGCAGATATATTCCAGAAAGGAAATTAAAATATTTTACTGGAGGCTTAGCAGTAAAATCTGCATATCATGTTAAAATGAACAAAAAAATGATTTGCATACAAATAACAGCATAAAGTATCTCTATGACTATCTCCCACTGTTCACATCATTTATTCCTTCATTTAAAAGATTTAAGAGTTAACATTTTTTTCCAAGCAATTCTCTCCAAAAAACTGCAACTTAAACATGATTGCGTTGCTAAGAAATATTAACCAGGACCTTCCCTGAGGTTTCACAACACAATGGCATATAACTTCATTTTTAATCTGCAAATTATAAGGCTTAATCAAATAGCAACGCTGTAATCATCAGCAATGGATGAAATGCATTTGAGAACAAAAAGAAATACAAGGAGAGAGCCAAAAGTGATGAAAATGGAAGATACCTGTAGTAGTGCCGTGCTATCTTAAACACCTTTTGTTTTCTGAGAGTAATGCATACTGCAGACAAGACATTTTGTGCTAAACAGCCCCAAATCTGTTTTTCTAATATTAAACACAAAGGAAAAACACTGACAGCAAGCGTGGTAAATAAATCCCTCCCTTGAGAATGAAAGCAGCAGACAGGAGGGGGCTGACATACATGCAGGAGAAAACTAAACACCATCTTTTTTCTACCTGCACAAGTTGCCATTTGCTGCAGCGATCGAGAACCTCTTTTTCCTGTTGATTTCAAGTACCTTTCAGGATAGCTGTTTTCCCCTTAAGTCATCTGTTGATATGCCTTATGAGTATAATATTCATATCACAGGATCTTTAGGAGAAAAATCCATTCTTTCCTGTTCAGGTAAACATGTTTACAGCAGCTGCACAGACGCTGGGTGGTTCAGACTCACATGTCATACACATGTCGTCAGCAACAAGAAAAGCCCCTTTCTCTGGCTATGAACATTTTGAATAAGGTAAAAGGCGAAAAGCCCTTTCTGAACCAACTTACCTTTCATAAAGCCACATCAGCAACGGCGGCAACAGCTCAATATAGAATACACACTATTTGACGCTAAAACAGGAAATTAAAATTGCAATAGCCTATGCTCCGCTCCTTGCTGTAACAAGTCATCTCTCCACAATGAGAATACCAAATATTAGTTATCAATCATAACTAAGTGACATCTTTAAAATGAAGATGTTTATTCGAATATCTAAAATCATTCATGAAAACAGTGATTTTAATGTCGGCTCAAATATATTAAAAATATGTTTACGACTGGAAGGAAACATCTTGAAACAGCTTAAAATCTTCGTATCTGCTTCTAGACAGGAAATCCCACACAAAATCTAAAATTGCCAGGAAAGGTTACAAAACCTCGCGTTGCGCATCCCAGAGGGGAGGGAGAATGGGAACCCGGGAACAGGGGGTGGGGCGGGGGGAGCGCGCGCGAGTTTTTACTTAAACACACATTTCCTCATTTTCTGGAAGATGCAGCCATCCCACTATAGGCGCATTCATTGCCCTACTCTTAAAACCTCGTTTTTTAAAGAACGCAGGAACCAAAAGGAGCCCCTTGGTCCGAAATGTACGCGTAATTCCTTATATAGCCTCGCTGCAGCCAGCGGCAGGGCCGTTGCCGCCCATTATTATACAAACAGGTACCCGGCCGGCCGGGCGGGGGCCTCTCCCCGCGCTCCCGCCGCCCCCGGGCGGAGAAGTCTCGCCCCTCTCGCCACAGGAACTGTCCAGACAATAACAATCAGCAGACATTTCACTGCTGAACAAGAGAGAGAGAAAGCACAGAATCGCCCCGGAGATAAGCAGAAATACAATCAACTTACAACGTCTCTCCAAACTGGAAAAGGCGACTGTGCAACAACAACCACATGTTCGGGTCTCGCTCTCTCGCGCTCTCTTATTTTTTCTTTTTTTTTAACTCTCACGCCAGGCAGAGGGGTGTGCATGTCCCCGGCACATCAGCACAAATCAATAAACACCGCAGCTGCGGCGCGAGCAGCGGACCCGCGCGTCCGTCGGTCCGTCCGCCCCCTCCCCCACCCTCCTCCCACCCGAGACCGAGAGCGCCATCCAAGCTCCATTATCCGGCTTCAGCGCTCCGAGCGTCCGGCCCAGGTAACAACTTCCCCAAAACCGAAAGAGAGGCGTAGGCACAGAACCCCAGCCCGGCGCGGAGACGGGGTCTTCCCCTGGGAGGGGCTCTGTCGGTGGTGCTTCCCCGTCTGTGAGCCCAGGTAACTCCACACACCGCCGTGCCCAGCTCGCCGCCATCCACACGGCCCCGGCCGCTCCCGCCCCGTCTCCGCGCCAGCTCCCGCACCGCGGGGACCTCCTCGCGGGGCTCGCCTCGGCGCCCCAGGCCGGGGGCCCGGGGCTCGGGACCCGCGCGCGGGGAGGAGGGGCGCGGAGGGACCCGCGCCTCCGCGCCGCTAATCCCCAGTCCGCGAGCGCGCCTCGCCGGCCGGTCACAACTTTACCGCCGCCGGCCGAGCCCGTCCGCCCGCGGCGCGCACCGCGCACACGCGCGCACGGACGACACGCAGCCCACGGCCGCCGCGTCCCGCCCGCCCGCCGCCGCCGCGCGCTCGCAGCCCGGCCGGCCCGCCCGGCCCGAGGCGCGGGGCCCGAGCGACGGCGCCGGCCGGCCGGGGCGGCGGCGCGCGGAAGCCACTTTGCACGGTCAGCGCCGGGCACAAGTTAGTTCCGCGGCTCCGGGGCCTCGGCGCCCGCCCGGGGAGCCGGCCGCAGCGGGCTGGGGAGGAGGGGGAGCGGGGAGGCGCCGAGGGCGAAAGAGTGGGGAAAAGTGCGAAAAGAAGCAACAGCCGCTCCACCCGAGACCAGAAAAGTGGCCGGCCGCGTCCGGGCCGCCCGCCCTGCGCCGGGGATGCGGCGGCGGCGGCGGCGGCTAACGGTCCAGGGAGGCGGCAGGGGCGGCAGGAGCCGCTAGGCGGAGAGAGACCAGGTAAGAGACATAACGGTTCAGGGAGAGCGAGCGGCCGCGGCGCGGCTCCGGCCGCGGCGGCAGCGGAGGGGGGCAGGAGCACTACTTTCTACTTTCCCACTCCACTTTGCCCGTCCCTGCCCCGGCCGCCCCCAGCCCGGCTCGCCCCCCTCACCCCCGGGGGCGCCACGGCTGCCCGGCTCCCCCTGACTCCGCCGCTCCCCGGTCCCCTCCGCCACTCACCGTTATTGCGCCGCGGGTTCGCCTGCTTTCTGCGCTTACACCTGGGGCCATCCGCCATGATCCTCTCGCTTGTGTCTAAATGCTCGAGTCACCTCCTCCCCCTCCCTCCCCCTTCCCCCCCACCCCTCCGCCTCCACCCCTCCCCCCTCCCCACCGCACCTGGTTTACGACACTCGCGGCTTTACGACATCACCTTCCTTACACCTAGAGCCGCTCGCTCTACGGCCGGAACCTTGTTGCTAGGGAGAGCACGGTTTGCGGCAACCGTAGAAGCAGCTGAGTTTGAATCCGGGGGGAGAGGAAAAAGTTCCCTTCAGGTGTCGGGGGACAGGGAGGGGGGCACTGGGAGACTGTGGGGACGTGGCCCGCGGGACGACAGGCCGCCGGAGGGAGAAAGGTAAAGTGGGAAGACTTCGCGGCGTTCCGCCTCTGAACTGGCCACACCCGCCGCGGCCGCCTGGGGCGCGTGGGGTCTGGCTCCTTCGCCCTGGGACCCTGTGCCCTCAGAGCTGCCCCTCCGAGAGCCCGGAGCCACCTGTCCGCCCTCGTCCTCAGGTTGGGCTGCGCCCCGGGGCCCCGGAGAGGGTCGTGTGTGGCTCCCCGGGCGTCCCAGTATTAGGGCAGGGCGAGATCGGGAACGGCGAGGCCACGCACGTCACGGGAGCGCTACCTGACGCCCTTCCCTTCCCCGGACGCGCGGGTTTCCCCCGGCGACCCGGGCTGGGAAGTGACTTCAGTTAGGTAGAACTTCAGCTGGACCCAAAGCAGGGCGGCAAGTTCCGCTTGCCAGCAGCCTGGGCGGTAAAGCGGAATGAGTAATAGCCATACTGTCCCCGTCTCACTTCCTCATCCGCGCTGCCTCTCACCTGCTGTCACCTCGGCCTCCCGCGCCCCGCCGCCCCTCGCCCTTCGCGCCCGTAGGGCAGAGCGCAGAGGCCGGCGGGGCTGGAGACTCGGCGTGAAGGTGTTAACAGGCCGTGACTGACGCCTAGATGGGCGGTTGTCGCTGTAGAGGACCTTAAGGCGAGAAACGACGCCCACGGACGCGGGCTTTGAGACTGATGGATTGCTGATCGCATCTCGAGTCCCTGACTTTGCGCGAGTTTGGGGATTTCTGAAAGACCACATAGATAACACCACAAATACCAAGGAAGTCAAGTCTTCAGTATTCAGTAGGATTTAGATTCCCCCCACCCCCTTCCAATGAGGAAATGTCTTTGGGACCAACTTTATGGAATACGTGAACTGAGCTGTATTTCAAATAACAGTTATAAATTAACAATGTGGGAGTTATTGGTAGACAAATTGAGAAAACTGAAACATGACATATAGCGTATTAGACATAACATAGTAAGTCGCCCAGCACAGTGCTGTCACACAGTAGGTGCTCAATAAATTTATGCCTATAATTTTTGTTATACCTATGGCAAGAGTCTTTATCGTGCTAAAATAATCTTTTAAATACTCTCCAGAATTTTGGAAGGTTAATTAATAATCTCCTCAAACCTTTCAACTGAAATAAATTTACACCTGAAGTCTGGTAATTTAAAATTAGAAAGTTTAATCCTGAATATAGATGAAAATTTTCTCTCCCACGTTAGCTTTGGCATTTTGAGAAGTGAATGCATTATTTATTGGTGCATGAAGTGTGACTGTAAATATTCTGTGCTATACATTATGTCTGTGTCTGCTCTCCTCAGTGCCAAGACTAGAATCGTTATTCCTAATGATCGTTTTAAGTGCAGGCAGCTCTCGCTTGTCTCAGTACTGTGTTAACTGAACTTGTGCATGGCAGAACCACAACGGTGTCCATGCTTTGCTTGGTTCAAGTGGTAATTTTTTTCCTACACTCTTAATAGCTGTGTCATGTTCTTCAGATGCCTTCTGATTCAGGTTATAGGTTTTATCCTTTGCCAGTGTCCCGCCCTCCCCCCAGCCACACATATATCTTTTTTACAGCAACCCTAATTTCCAATCAGAAAGGAAAAAAAATGCTTTCTACTTCTAGCACACGTTTTACTTAGGAAGTATCACACGTGCGATTTTCTCTTTCTGAAGTGCCTGTCCTGTCCCTCCCTACGAAACTTTCTTTAGTGTTCATCCTAACCTTGAAGTCCAAGAGAAAAAAATGAAAGGACAAACCAAGTAGAAATCATTTGCTTCCTTACTTTTGTGGTTATGGTTTAGTTACCTTGGGCCAGACTTTATTTAACTCTGTGGAAAGGTACCTTTTTTTTTTGGCTTGTTCATTTCTGTGCCCTCATCACCTAGCAGAGTACTTAGTCACATAGTAGATGCTCAGTAAATAAATATTTCTTAAATCAGTTAATATTGTTGACCTTTCCTGAATCTGTTCTTGGCTATAAAGTAAGGATTGTTTATCTGCTTTCATCACATTAGTTCTTAGGAGCAGTTGAAATCATGGATGTAAAAGCTGTTCACTGTGACTTACATCTTGCTTTATTTTGAGATTAATTGTTCTTCATTTTAAATAGTCCGTAATCCTTTTCCCCAAATGATTAATTCTGCTCATTTGGTTTTTTTTTTGTTTTGTTTTTTGAGGAAGATTAGCCCTGGACTAACTACTGCCAGTCCTCCTCTTTTTGCTGAGGAAGACTGGCCCTGAGCTAACATATGTGCCCATCTTCCTCCACTTTATACGTGGGACGCCTGCCACAGCATGGCTTGACAAGCAGTGCCATGTCCGCACCCGGGATCCAAACCAGCGAACCCCGGGCCGCCAAAGCGGAACGTGTGCATTTAACCACTGTGCCACTGGGCCAGCCCCTCTGCTCATTTCTGTTTCTAAAATTTGCACAGGAAATATTGATATCCCAAATCTAATATAAAATTTAATTTTTTAAAGCTGTAATAATTATATATGTTATAAACTCAATATTTGATTAATATACTTTATCTGCTGTAATGTTTCCAAAATTATTGAAATCTGGAGGGACTGGAGGGAAAGACAAAGTACATCTCAGAATAAATTTCTGCTTTAAACCTGATGCATGTGTGAAGATTGCTTCTTACCTCTTAAATGTAACTAAAGAATTGGAAAAAATCTTTAGAATAAATTTAGCAAAGGAGTACATTTATTAAAATTTAGATTTATTTAAATCAAACATGGTAGGGATACTAATAAGAGTTTAACATGTATCCTGTATTGTTGGTTTTTGTTAATTGTAGTGCCATCATGTATTTTCAATGTATGCTCCTATTTTTAATGTCAGTGAAATGTTAGCACTGCTTCTAGGGAGCGCTAGGATTACATATGCCGAAGGAGAGGTATTCTGCTAAAAATGAATTACTATAATCTTTTCTAAATTTAGGGGGAAATGTAAATGGGTAGAATATTTTCAATATTGAGGGTTTTTTCTATAAATTTTTCATGAACCCTTTGCACCTATTTGCTTTTCATAGAAGATTTATGTATGTTAGGATAAAATTTGACATAAAATCATTTTTAGTTTAAAATGTAGCTATTTCATTGTTGTTCCACATGGAGCATATGATTTCCATGTACTTCACTTCCTGAACACATTTGAGAATTATAACTTAGAATATGATTCTGTAATCTTCCTCAAATAAAAAGTTGAGGGGCCGGCCCCATGGCCTGGTGGTTAAGTTCAGTGTGCTCCGCTTTGGCGGCCCGGGTTCATTGGTTCGGAACCCAAGTGTGGGCCTACACCACTTGTCAGCCATGCTGTGGCGGCGACCCACGTACAATGTAGAGGAAGATTAGCCCAGATGTTAGCTCAGGGCAAATCTTCCTCACCAAAAATTAAGTAAATGAAAAGCTGATTATTTTCATGGAAGGATAACCTATTTATGTTAATTAAATTAATTACATGAACATGTAATTTTGATCTTAGAGCTTTAAAGGAAAAAAATAAATTTGATACGTATTATCCATATATTTCGAATCCTG